TGACATCCGCATAGCCCAACAGTGCCCCGGAGGTGAGGCGGCACTACTGCTGCAGAATCCAGTCGATAGGCCACTCCGGGCTTTTTACAGGCTGTTTTGAGGCATTAAGTTAGAGGTGTGCGAAGACATTTGACAGGCTGTTCGCACACCACGCCCACCCCACTGCCCGATGTGCTGGCGCCTTGGAAACGTCGACGACATCGCGTGGACCATTGAGTTTGTAGCTTCTGGAAGGGAGCACCCGCACCACTGCACGGGAAGGCCGTTCGCTCAAGAGAGGGATCTCTTTCACAGTTTAGGGCTGCAGATGCAGGCACTGGCCGCTGGAAAAGATCAAGCATCCATGGCAGCATTCAGAGACTCTGATGTCGAGCTGAACTTGATACTCCCTGTAACCTCTAGGAGATTTTTGCTTCGAGGTGGTGTTGCTTGGCAAAGAAGATCGGTTGCAAGCTCTTGGCCAGCACGACAACCACCACAGCAGTGCCAGATCTTTTCGACTGCAAGGTAGGAGACTCATAGACTGATAGAAGATCATAGAAGCCTGAGAGTCCCTACAAAAAAATATGGACTCTTGCAGCTGCGAGGCTGGTCTCAAAAGCTGGGAGGAGGGATGGTCACACAGGAAGAAGGCCGTTACAGGGTCCTTTTCCATGAGCCTTTGCTGGCTGAAGCTGTGGCTCCGTGACAGGCTTGGTGCTGCAGTCGGAAGCACATAGGATGTGCTTTCGACTGCCGGCAGGACTTGAAGACGTGGCAGGCAAGCAGAGTTTTCTCGACTCGGCAGCTTTGCGGCAGTTGACTCAATCAGGTCAGCTGGACGGGTCTTCAGAAGACCTTCTGCTGCCAGCATTTTCACGTCGGCTGCGTGGGTGGATGCTACGACTGCGCTGCGGGCAGGACAATTGCGGGCTTTTGGGTTAGGACTCTTAGGACGGGGAGAGCTTTGAGATTTTGAGGACGTCAACGTGGCCAGGCGAAAAGCGGCACTGGTGCTGCAGGAGCCGGAGCTGCATGTGCTTGCGACTTTTCTGTGCGTTTTGTGTTCGCAAAAATTCTCTCATTTTTTCTCTAAGCCGCCAGTTGGCGATGCTTGCCTAAAGCCTTCAGAGGCACCTGGGATTGGGCTGTGGCGACTCCTACACGCCACCGGACTGTGACCGGAGCAAGGAGGATCCGTGTGATGAGCTGGCATGTAAGGTCTTGCTGAGTGACTTACATGGCACACCGTCGGAAGTACAGTGCACACAGATGTCGTTTTGAGGAGTTGTTCGTTGAAGCGACATAATGACATGCTAAGTTTATTCAAGGCTGCTCCGGCTGACGGAAGTGCCATTGTAGACACGTGATTGGAACGGAGAAGACACAAGAAGCTCATGCTATGTCGAAGGTGCAGGTGCTGAGATGAAGAAGGTGCTCGTATGCTCCGAGGCGTTTCAGTCCAATGTGCAGGAGTCTTGGTCTCCTTCCGAGCGAGAGTACTGTTGCATTGCACGTGGCCTCGGCCACTTTGCAGCAGTTGATTGCAGCAGTGTGGCAATAGACAAGTTCCGAGAGCTCGGGAGCATGCGTGAGAACCATCCGAGGTTGTGTCACGGGCCACTATGTTTCGCACGCCTTTCACGGCCAGCACATTCACGAGATCGCCCACATTTCCCACTACAACCACATTCCACAACCAGTCATCCAATACACTCATCCTGTGCCTGAGCCAAACAAATCAATGGTTTACTCCAATTCAGTCATTGGGACATGCCGCTGCGAGCTGGTACCGTGCCAGCCTTTCACAGTTGAGGCTCGCCTCGCGCCACCCCCAGCACCTCCTACAGTCAGTTTCCATTGCACCACAGGACGGGTTGTGCAAGCGCCTTCAACTCGGTTTGCCGAGCGAGCGAAGCCCTGCAAGGCAAGAAGGACACGTGGTCGGCCATTCAGCGCGACTGGTGCTGCAAATATGCGAACACTGGTTGCGGCGTGCACCAGAGAGCCTTGGCCGCTTTATTTGCATCCTAGCATCCTGACATCTTCAGACTCCAGGAAACGGATGGGCAATCATTTCTCTGCATGGAGGTGCTTCGCACAACGGCTTCGACTACGACTGCAACTCTCATGACGATTGGGAGTTCTGGTCTACCAAGCAGAAACAGACGTGCTGCCGGGACTACGGCATCGGCATTCTGGTCGCACCCGACCCCCGCAGTTTGCGTTTGGGCTACGCTGAGCCTGCTGACCGAGGCTGTCCTGGATGGAGCCCCCACGTCTCTCATGTCGCTCATGTGGTCCATTCCCAGAACCCTCAGATAGCTGGCGGCTCCCAGATAGCTGGCGATTGGGCAGCAAGCCTCGCTCGAGGGTCACTTGCGTTATCTGGGGATGGTGGGCCCTGACCCCAAGGTCTCGCAACACATCATTTCCACTTTCATTGCAATGCGGACGACCCCGCCATGGCGGCGTGGTCCGTGCAGAAGCAGCAGTATTGCTGCCATGACTATGGAGTTGGTCGCATGTCTGGCAATAGCTGTGCTTCAACAGGGGCAGCGCGAGCACGGGAACATGCACAATCCGCCCAGCAACGACTCAGCCTTACTACTGCGCCACTTTAGGACGGAATGACAAGGATGAAGATACTGTGTAGGTACGAAGGCCCATGTTTAGACAAGGCAAATACCTACATTCAGTTACATACACATCCACACACAACATAGGTACATGTACACGTCTGCCCACGAATGCGCATATGACATGGACATGTGCATGACATGCCTTGAGCTGTATGTCTGATGGTAGCAAGCCAAGGCTGCCCTGACGCTCAGTCTGCGTCTGGCCATGGTTGGCACGGGCAGGTTCCATCGCATTTCAAGCACGACAGGGTCCACTAAAGTCTCTTCTCGTGGGGCGCGGTGCCGTTTACTAGCTTTCTCACAGGGGCTGTGCTTGTTTGTCTTCCCGTGGTGGCCAGGTGCTGCCTGGCTACAAGTTCAACTGCTTGGCAGGCACTTTTGTCGCCACAAGCGCCTGCTGAAGCATTTTCAGGGAGCACTAAAGGTAAAGCCTTGCAATGAACTTTGTTGAGACCCTCGTAGAAAGCCCAACAGTACCATGTCACTGCCTGAAACCCGGGTCCCCGAACCCTTCGTACGGTTTTCTTGCAGGCTCTAAGATGTCCGGGCAGCAACTTCAGGTGGCTTTCCTCACAGCTGGTCGCTCCCGAAACGAGCTTGGTGTTGCAAACACGAGAGTTTGGGCTGTTCCGATGCTGCAAGCTGCTTGTCGGCAGTGGTCATGACCACCAGAGTATGAAAGCGTCTCAGACCATTAGCGGGTTGCTTGTAGGCTACGACTGTCGCCCTGGTGCCGGTGGCGCAACGCGGCTGCACAGTGCATAGGTGCCATGGCCATCGCGGGCCGTGGAGGCTCTTTTCGGAAGTTCGGAAGTCTGAGGCCTGGCCGCGCGCCAAGGCACAGTGGTGCTGTGAGCACGAGAACGTCGGCTGCGGCTCTCTGCCTCCGCGCTACGACTGCACGGATGGCGTTTCGCGCTGGAAGGCCCCTTGGCCTTCCTAAGCCGGACTCACCTCGGGCTTCCCGCAACTGATTGCCGTTACAGGAGTGGCCACGTGGAAAGCGAGAGTACTGTCGCTTGGACGGGGATACCCTGCTAGATCTCTGGATCTCGGCTTGCAACATGCACGGCTCAGGCTGCGACTCGGTGAAAGTGGGTTGTCCAAAGCCGATCCAACCCTGGATCGCACAGCTGCTCACTCCATCGGCGCAGCATGAGCTGCACAACGAGGCCTGATATGGGGAAAGACCAAGCACGGCTTGGCCAGGGCGTGTGCTTGCCGGGAGCACGTGTCATCAGGACGTGAGAAGGAGGTCACGGCACCCAAAGTACAACTGCGCGTGTTGCCTGCTGGTTTGCATTGTTTGCATGCTGATTCTTGCTGATTGCTCCTTGACGATTGCATCTAGATTGACCAAGTGAACCCTGCCTTTTCTCAGGCATCCGTGCGTTGGGGGAAGTGTCTTGAAATGCCAACACCTTGCGTATGCCAGGGCAGGCCTCAGTCATTGGCAGGACGTGAGATTGTGCCGCAGTAGAAACGCCGCTTTTCGAGAACTTTCGGACGCGGAGGACGGCTGGTCAAAAGCGAAAGCAAGCTGGTGCTGCCCGGCACTTGGTGCACGGCGTCAGGGAGCAAGGCCAGAATCCTTGACGCGAGGTAAGTACAAGGGCTATGGCTGCCCCTTCCTCTGCCATGGCTCGGCCGAGCAGCAAGCCGAGTGGAGTCCAGAGAGGGCTGAGCTGCCGCCTCAGCTGAGCTGCCCCAAAGGGCCACCAAATCGAGGAGTCGGAGAGCCCAACAACGACCGAGGTGGTGTTGCAAGCAGCACGACGTCGCTTGCCGCTTCATGACCAAGTACCTTGTCAACGGCCTCAACGAGCTTGACTTGAATCACCGAGGCACTCTGGGGAAAAGACATCCTCGATCATCTTCGAGCGTCTGCAGACCCTCCGTCTCCTGGTCCTTGGCTCTGCAGGCAAAGCATCCGTCCTCGCTGCAGCCGGTCTTTTTGTGACCCTGGTGGCCATCGCCGCAGTGGGGCGCATGAGCGCAGCAGCAGCAAAGCACGACGAGGCACTTAAAGTTCCAAGCTGGTAGAAGGAAACTCCTGCAATATATCCGGTCGAGCATTGTTTGGAGCATGGCACCATGATGGTGAATGTACCAGGTTCTAGGCATGAGTGACTTGGAGCTCTCCGAGTGAGCTTTGGGCTGGTCAGACACCAAGGATGCTTCCGTTTGGGAAAAGTGTCTTTTTCGTTTCACCATGTAGGCTTCTTTGATGTGCGGGAAGGCTCCTGCAGCGAAGTTGTGCATCCCGCTTATCGGCGCTCCGGCAAAGTCCCGGCAAGAGGCATTGTAGGGCTAATGTATACTGTTTCACCCAGCCTTAGACATTTGAGGCTATGCTATGCACTTCCACCTGCCCAACCGATGTTTTTTGACCCAAGCAGAAATCCCTCTGCAGCTTGTGGCACGCTTCGCCCCAACTGTCCACAGCCAAAGGCGCTGACATGGCTGGACTGGATTTTCGAAGACTGCCGCTTGCTGCTTTTGTGTACGTGCATTCCTGCATTGACATACTCCTACCACTACTGCTGTGCGGAGGTGCCAGGATGACAGTAGCAGATCCGCTCAGACTCTGCACGGGTGCAATCCTGCAGTCAGCTGCATCTGGACCCAGACAAGAATGGGCCAGACCGGTCGAGAGATCTGATTGCTCTCCGAATGACACCGTGCATCAGTTCTGTTTGGATTGCTGGCTGCAGATGCACCAGCGTTTCAGGGGTGATCTACGCTACCTCAGCCTACTCAACCTCAACCGCTGGCGACTTCAGGTGGATGTGGAGATGCTCTACCAGATGCTGCGGGAAACTGTGGGTGCCTGATGAGAAGGGCGAGCAGGCTCCTAGCAACGTACTCGTACTGCACAACACTGGCAGCCACGCCATGTTTGCAATGACCTCTCGTCGGGAGGAGGTTCTTGGGTGCGCTTGAACTGCGTAATCAATGTGATGGTTTGCCCCAAAGGCCCCAAATTAGTCAGCGGCGGGCTTTGCAAAGGAGATGATGAATTGGTGCCATCATGTGCGTAACGAGGAATGGCAGACTCGTGACACATGACGAGATGATTTCAGTTGTGGCCGTCTTACACCAGGTACAAGGAAAAATTCTGTTGCGCGAAAAGATGAACACCTGTCCCTGCAGGAAGGTACCTAAGAGCAGACAATGATTGCATGCATAGTCCTTCGCTGGCCAGCTCTCCTCCCAGTCCCTTGCAAAGGTGGATGTGGCTTCCGACTCCCAAGAGTGTTCTCTCCCTCTCACTGTCTCTGCTCTCTGCCTCTCTCACTTGCTCTCGCGCTCTCTCTCTGTCTCTCTCTTCCGTCTCTCCGTTTGCGTCCCGCTCGCCCACCTGCTCCCCAGCCCGTGCCTGCCGCCCACCCGTCCCGCCGTGCTTCCGTCGGTACCCACGTCCGTCTCTGTGTGCACGAGTCCATGCGGCCATCCTCCACTCATGCATGTATAAGCAGGGTCGGGGCTCGAACTCTACCGTTTCAGTTCCCCACGTCTAAAATGCCTTCCGTCGATTGGCAGTCTCGACAGCAATCTCCATACATACCTACATGTACATATGCATACCAGCAGACATGCATACCTGCATGCATGCATGCCTGCAGGCCGTCCTGCCTGCCGGCCTGCCTGCCTGCCGACCTACCTACCTACAGACGTGTGTGCGCACGTCCTTGTCAGCCGACCAGCGTCGGTCTCCGACAGTGGTCAGTTGAAGCATTTAATGGCTTGTCATGTTCCTTTGCCAGCAGATGAACCGGCGAGGCCATCCGGTCAGTCTTGGATCGTCGCACTGTGCCCGCTGACTTCCGCCTGCGTGCCTTGGCATGTTACTGAGAATGGTTTTGACCAAGATGATGGGTAGTTTCATCATGATGCTGCACGATGATGATGTGCAGCACCTGACTCTACTCGTACTAGTATAAGCGATACACAGCAGCGTCCACAGGCTATCGAGGACCAAGCACGCCACTAAGCTTCACATATAGTACTTCCGATGCAGGCAAGATCGCCCTCTGGCAACATGTTCTTGTCGGAAGAGACAGGTCAAGCTAAAGGGTTCAAAGAGGGCAGAGGTGCAGAGTGCATCACTCTGTCAGAATTCTACGAAGCCGGCTGACGGCCAACACAAAGGTTCAACAGCCGAAGGCAAGTGGCTTGGGTGGACTTCTCATTATAGAATTCTAGATGAACAGTTGGAATACCAGTACGGTGCCGACTCGAGGGCAAGCACCCAGTGCAATCTGCACAGCAGCATTCGGTCATCCAGCAGAGGAGCTTCAAGAGTGTCGCTATGCTTGTTCAGGTTTTTTCGCTGTTGCGGGGGGCAGCCGCTTCGGCACAGGCAACTGCAACGTCATGCAGCTCATGAACCAGCTCATGAACCAGCTGATGTGGAACATGAAGGGGGCAGACCCACGACCGTGCTGGCTGCAGCTTCGGGTGTCGGAGGGCGCGTCGCAGAAAAGAAGCTGCCGCGCATCGCGAGCTCTCGTTTTGTCTCTTCGGGGAGGGGCGGCTCAACTGCGCAGGCTGGCCGGGCTTCTAGAGCAGGAGCTCAGGGCCGATGTCGAGGCCGAGCACCGGAAACACCCGGCTTGGTTGTGATGATCGTGATGGAAGAGCGGTTCTCGGCTGTGCGTCGTTATGAGATGACATCCTGATGACTTCTTCCATGCTCGTGACAGCTTGGGTGCTGGTGCAGGAGGGATGTTTACATGTGAGCGATGCCCCGCGGCAGCTTCTCAAGGAAAGCCCAAAGGGGCTTAGAAATCATTGATCGTAAATGTCCACAATGAAAGCTCATTCATGGGCTAGCAGAGGCCTATCAAGCCAACAGCGCTGCCGCGCAAGTGGTGGGAAGGTCAGTTGAAGCAAGTTGAAGCCAAAACTGCCAACGAGAGATCCCAGCTCAGTGCCCTCTCTGGCCATGAAGCTCACTGATCTGCTGACCTCTTTTGGAACAGGCAGCCGGCGACAGCAAGGTGCTTTGTACATGTCTTGGGATTGTGGGCAGCAGGCCAGAACCGGCGGCTGACGTCTTTCCAAGGCTCCACTTTGCCAGATCAGATTTCCTCCTTTCGCCGAGGGCGCGTTATCTGTGCCGTGTGAACACACCCTCAGGCCTTGGAAATCCCTTCGCTCCTCAGGGCCCGCCGCAGGGCCCCGCCGGCGCTGCTGGAGGTGATTCAGGCCGGAAAGGGCGCGAGCAGCATCGTGACCGAAAGGGGCCCCGCGCTGGATTTCCGGGACTTGCAGGCGACTGGTGGCAGGACGAGTCGGGCAAGTGGCACTTTGGAGGCCATCGGCTTGAATCTCGAATCGACCAGATGTGTCGCGAGCAGAGGTGAGGCAGAGCACTGGTGGCGCGACGAGCACCACCAATGGCACAAAGGCTTGCTGAAATCGCAAGCGCCAACACGGGCCGGAAGCGCCCAAGAAGTCTCATGAATTCGGCAGGCGGGGAAAGCCAAACGTGGCGGCAGGATGAGGCCGGCAACTGGCGGGGGCCTCGGTCCGAAACAGGGAGCAATTCCTTCCGCAACCGTGGGCTGCGAACCCGAGTTCGCCAAGGCACGAGGTCGACGAAGATAATCCCAGGGAGTCAGAGGAGTTTCGGCTCGCATGTGGCTGATGGAGCAAGCAGATGTCACTTGGGGCAGGCGAGTGGCAGCTTCTGTTTTCCAGGACGAGTTAATGATGGGCGACAACCCTGACATGGGTGAGCCGCAGCAGGACATCAAAGAGCCTGTGCCTGAGGCAACTGCAAAGCTGTGAGAGAGGTCCGACAACCTGACGTCTCAGTTTGGACGCCCTGAACGATGCGCTCAAAGAAGACATGCCGCCGATGGACCCCGATCCACCCATGGATCAGCAGATGATGCAGATGCACACGTGCGTGGCTTTCATGTCTGGCATGCCTCTTGTAGATGCGCCATTTTCATGGCATGCTGGTGCCATGTAGCCGATGCTCGGGTGCTGCAGTTTAGCTCGAAGAGGGGCGGTGTTTTTCCATTTCCCGTGCTTTCGTATGACTGCAAGATTCAGAGGCAGGGAGCCAGTCCATGCAGGTTCTGCCTCCCCGTGTGTGAGTACCCCTGAACAGATCTCTGGCGCTGATGAGAGGGCAGGCATCTGGAATTCTTCAGCCGCTGAGTTTTGTGATAGTGAAGTCCATGAAGTCCAATGCAGGCTGTGGCAGTGGCTGGTGCTGTGCTTCTCCTCGCGGTTCAGGCGGGACGCCAAGATGTCGGGAGCCCCAGCATTGGCAGCGACACGATTCGTGGTTCCTTCGAGCTCCGCATAGGTGCATTGCAGAGGTGCGTTCCAAATCGCACGTACGTCGCTGTGCTGTGTGTCTTCCGACTGGAAAGACTGTAGTGCTAGGGCCTGCTAGGGTCACGTCTCCATGAATTCTCCATGAATGCGGCCTTTGTCATGGGCTTCTCCGGTGGCTCTAGGGCCTCCAGGGTGCTGATTACCGCCCAAACTCGAGCTGATTCTCGGTGACAGGGGGTCAGCCTTGTGCAAATATGATCGCATGGGATGGGTTAGATCACAAGCGTGGAGTGGAACAGAGCGCCTTCTGTCGCCCGATTACAGCCGAGCTTCGCACGGGCTGCGACCTACCCGCGTCGACCGCCGAGGCCACGGACATCTTCCATCCTGGCCATGAAGCGGTGCACGTAACGCGGTGGTGTGCCTAGAGGGCGACGGCTAAGAGTCGATGCCGAGAGAGCTTTCGGCTTTCGCGAAGCGTTTGCCGAGACTCCATCGCTACGAGCATGAAGGCATGACATCGTTCCTGGAGGCACAGGAGTGTGCCGGTGGGCATGGCATGCTAAATCTGAGGTTTAAAGGCTTTAAGCCGGTGCTGGGATGAAAGCTCCGTCCCCTTTATCTGCAGGCTGAAGCTCGATGGAAAGGATCTCGTGAAGAGGCCCTGAATCGCACCTGGTGCACTTGGGATCGACTAGGCACTTGGCGCAGGTTGTCTCCCCGCTGCTCTCGCGAGCTAGATCCAAACGGAGTGCGAAGCCGAAGGCGAGGCCACGACTCAGAGGATGCACACTCCAGGGCTTCTTGCCGACCCACATCTCAGAACCCGCGCTCGCTTTGCAGTTCTCCAGGGCTTCCTCCGTGTCTCGCAGACCCAAGCTCGGAGCTCAGAAAGTATTGTCTGAGTTGGTGAGAGTTCAGTCCTTGCAAGCCCGGCATATAGAGGGCTCAGCTTTAATCTTCATCACCTCGAGATGGTGTTTTCTGTTTTGAACGAAGCGTCGGGGAATGTAAGCAGTGCGCGTTGGCATGCTGGCATGAGAGTGAGGTTCTGTGCAAGTGATCTTTCAACCGCAGGGCGGGCTGAAGCTTCCGAGCCAAACGCAAAAGAGTAGCGTGCAGGGCTTCTGTGCCCACGAGATTTCTGGTCAGCCCGAGACAGTACTGAACGTGTCTTGTGGTTGCTCAGGAAGCTGCGCTGAAAGCCCACCAGACCGCATCCCTTCTTCAGGTTGGTGCCGCTGTGACAGGAAAAGTTTCAGCTCGTTGATGGGGTCACCAGTCTGCTCGTAGCATTTTCCGGCCGCTTTCGTGCTACTTTGGTTGACGGAGGGTAGCACAAGGGCCCGTCACCCACCCGAAGGAGCTCGAAGACGCACGAGCAAACTCTTCCACGATCGGCGGCTCTTTTAGGACAGACCAAAGAGAACAAGAAGAACTCCTTGAGCTGCTTGCTGCCGTTGCAAGGAACGAGGGCAAGGTGCTGAGGCCGCACCACCGGGAGTAGGATTGATTGGTTTTGTAGTGCCAGCCGTGCAATCTGATTCTGGCGAGGTACCACGGTCTGGAGATCCCCAACGAGAACCACCCCGCAGAGACACGGTTAACGAGTCTGGAGAGCCAGTCCGCCGCACAGAGTTTTCGATTCGGAAGAAGGCTCTCTTAGACTCTTACAGGCACCAGTCGCGGGCTCCTGTCGCCGATATCATCCTTAGCCTCTTCAGCGATTCTGCCCACTCGACATGGAAGGTACATCGGCCAAATAGGCGTTGGCACGAGCCTCTGGGGTTCGGTACGTCGTGCATCCCCGGTTCTCTCGCCTCGCATGAAGCTGAGGCTCCGTGCTCGCACCGAAAGGATGCACGCCTTCCAGTGAGCATTCCCGGCTCGCTTGCTGAGGCTTACAGTCACAGGGCCAGGGAAGCTTTGGATCTTTGTGCGTCCGTGCATGAAGGTCTCTGATCTATCTTGGGCCTGCGGATTATGACAGCGCGACAGAGGAGCGTCCATGACAGCAGTTGCTTTGCAGTCAGATGCTGTGCAGAGGAACAGAAGAACACGTGCCACGTGAGCTTCTCAGTTCCCGGTCTTCAACCTGTGCTACCGTTCAAAAACCGGACGCACAGGTCCGCGACCAGTCTCTGGTCTGGGTCGTCTTCGACACAGGCGCCAAGCCGCAGAAGGGCAGCATCTGTAAAAGTAGCCTTCGGAGTCGCAGGGAAACTCTGGGCTTGTGATGGACAGTCATGCATCCGGGTCCCGCGAGGCAGCACCAATATCTGGGTGTCGTCAGTCCTGTGCCTCGGGCCCAGTAAGGAAGCGCCTTCAGGGACAGGCCAAGGGAGTACAATCTGCTGAGGCACCAAAGGGCCCTGCGCTAGCGCCGATCGGAGCCGCTATGATCGGTCGCTTTGGCCTCTGAAACTCTCGAGTTTCTGGCACGCCGCAGTTTGCCAAAGTGTGCTTGGAGTGCATTTGACCCCTTTCGCTATGTGGCACCTCTCAGGCTGTCCAGGACGTATGCTCCGGGCCCAGGCTGGCGACCGCAGCTGGTGCCCCGTCGGGAACTCATGCGAAGCGCCGACAGGTGGAACCTTACAGATCGAGTTCGGAACGGGGCGGATTACCGGCCCAGAGGCTCGGCCTGGAGGCGGCCATGTTTTGCTGTTGTCCCTGTTGTCACCTGTCCACCAGGCCGTCGACGACTTCCACATCGGACCCTTCTCGGTTTTCAACCAGACCTTCGGCAGGGGCCCCTCCCTTCGGTCCGTCGGTGGCTTCCATGTTGGGTTTTGTCAGGGATGATCGAGTCCGAGGAGGGCCGGGTCTTCGAGGAGGCATCCGCCCGAAGGGAGAGAGAGTGAGAGAGGAAAGCACAGACGAGTCGCCAGAATCAGGTGCCCGTGGAGGGCATCCTCGGATTGGCCTTCCCAGCCATGGCCGCACATGGTGCGCCGGGGCTCGGCTAAGCCGCTGTGTCGGGGATGATCGAAAGCAGACCGAAAGACACGTCCTTTCGGTTGACATGCTCGTCTTCGTTCATACTCTCCCATGGGCACTGTGCGAGGCATTCGGCCTTTCGTGGATGGCATCATCGAGAACAAGGTGCGGAAAAGATCATCGACCCGTCGTATCGCTCACTCGACGGGTTGGCAACACAGTGTCAAGGCGTTTAAGGCCTGAACAGGTACACTGAGATTCATGCATTCCTAGATATTCACATCTTGTCCTCCCTCAACTCAAAACCTGCCAAGGCAATAGGTCGCAACGAGTTTGCGTTTTACTTCAGCAGGCTCCTCAATCGGAATTCCTGGTCCCAGGGTCCATCTGAGCAGCTGAGCAGAGCACTCGCGTTCCGCTTTGAGGTCCTGATGATCCAGCGGGCAATGCGGTTTTCTGGGGCGGAGTCTCAAGCTCGGGCTTCTTCATGCATCCTGTGTCTGCCCAGCTTGGAATGCCAAGGTGGACAAATCCTTCTACCATGGTGAAATCGAGTGCCGCATCTTTCGATACACAGACTCATCAGACGGCTGCAAAGTTTCCCTGGGTTTCCGTGTCGGTCTCTGCGCCATCCTGGCTTGCTTTGCTCTAGATGTCATACTCTGCCTTGCGCACGGCCAGTATCCGACCTCGAGCCATCTCGGTATGATATGTGAAGTGATATTTGCATGTAGATCGTCGCACATTGCGTATTGCGAATTCGGGAAGTAGTCACACCTCTTTGTCGGGGGAGAGGCAAACGTTGCCAAGCCAATTGGGAGTCCCACCGTCAGCCCTAACGGGAAGGTTCGGTGAGAACAACATGATTCTCCTCACAAGAACGCGTGGCATCAGGCATCAGAAACGGCTTGAAGCGTTCGAAACCATGGAGAGCAGGCCCAGACACCGAGAAGATAAAGCTCGGATCCGCGAAAGAGTTGGGAGGAAACCGGGAACCAACGAGCCCTCGCTGGACTCAAAACAGCCTTCCACGCGAAGGCAAGTTGAGACAAACAGGTACTTTCCCGTTGTTCAGCCGTACTATTGGGCCGCCAGGACCCCAGGCTTTAGTTGATTGACTCTCGCATGCTTCTCCTCCCCGACCTCCCCGATGCCCGAGATTGAGCTGGTCGACTTCAAAATCGGCGAGGACTCGCTTCTGCATCTACTGCTGCCCGAGGCCTTTCCCATGCTTGGGTGTAGCCGGATGCAACAGTTATCAATGAGTTCTCAACAGTGGCAACTGCAGGCGGAGGAGACCCCGGACCTGGAGCACGAGGGTGCTTCAGGCCCTCCCGGCTGAAGTTCACCAGTCGCTGGAGCTGTTGGATGCCTTGCCAGGTCACAAAAAGCACCGTCATCACGGTGCTGGGGAGCCCGTGTTCAAGGAGAGGAGTCCCACAGTTTCTCTCGTACCACCTCACTCACTTTCCCAGAGGCAATCGTGGACACCGGCACCACCTTCTTCACGGCTCAGGCGCGCACCCGCTGCCAACAAAAAGCTGACAGTGCTGGCTTTGGTGGGGTCTTGGGAGGGCCGGCTCTTCAAAGAGACGATGAAGCGCCTCGCAGCGGGGCCCTGCCACAGGCCGACGAAGCTGTGCAGCTGAGCTGTGCAGCTCCGGGAACTTTTGTGAGTGTCTCCCTGACGGTCCCCGTCTTGCCCTGGCGCAGCCTGACCAAGCAGAGCCACCCGGACATCACCTGCTGGCCAAGTTCGTGCCGCGCTTGATGTCACTGGTTTGCCCGTCGAAGTTCCGGACGCTCAGTCGATCTTAGGTGATTTCGTGATCTCCAACAAGCAGTACATGCTCTCAAGCCAAGAAGGCCTGGCTTACTGCTGCCGAGACACGAAGGGATGGAAGTCTTCAAGTTTGGCTTTCACAAGATTCACGGCCTAAAACCCCAAACCCTTCAGCCCGACACACGCAAACCCTAAGCCGTGGACCAAGCCGGTAAGGCAAAATGCAAGGCCCCGAATCTCTCTGGCGTCAATCTGCGGTGTCGAGTACAGCCAACGTTAAGGTCTGGAGGCTCGGGGGCTAAGGTTGGCATTCAGGTGACTCAGCCGGTCTGAGGTTCATGCCTAAGCCTGGCGTCGAACCAGCACAGATGAAGTCATCAGGGAGTCATGCAGCAAGGATTCCTGATTAGACGCCCGCGGTACTTTCGGTCTTACGCACGCGTGCAAGCACACGCGCAGACCGGCAGCTGCCTGATCCGTCAGTGGCCGTAAACCGCAGAGCCTCGAGGGTGCACCAGCAGTCTCAGCTACTGGTATGAGCTCCAGAGATTGCTGCGGACAGATCACGCAGCTGGAGAGACTGCACGGCTCGGCCAGAGTGTAGGAGCGTTGCGCTACCATGCTCTACCTGTTAGGCTCTGCCTCTCGTTAGCACTTCTCACCTCTGGTCGGAGCGTTGAGGGGAGCAACCTACGGCAAGGAACCGGCTGTCGCAGACAGCTGGTGAGAATGGTTCTCATCGGGCCGCGCCTCTGCACATACACAGTACAGGGATACTGTACTTGGGTAAGCCCAGCTGCTAGCACCCTTCAGGTTCTCAAGCGTAGCCAGAAAGGGCAAACTGCTGTAGGGTGCCCCAAGAGAACATTGCAACAGGCGATGACTCAGAGTGCACGCCTGCCTTCATGCTGATCGAAGTCCCTCGCGCCCATGGTCCTGGCATGGTGTTGGGCGAGGCCGAGAGTGGTGAATAAAAGTCTCTGGTTTTCGCGGTCACTCAAGTCGCACAATTTGCTTTAGTCTACTTCCCCCAAGCTGCTGACAAGTGGTTGATTATGTTGCAGGTGTTTCTGCGGATCTACTTCTCTGTCTTCGATCGGGGGAGTGGCAGCGTAGATGAGGCCCACTTTGCTCTCAAGTGTTTCTCCGAGTGCACGGCCGCCCCTGTCACGGCGGAGGCTCGTATTGGCTTCGCAAAAGCGAACAGTGGAGCGGATGCCAAGAGTCGCCTCAAGGACGCCGGAGGGGCTCTGCGCATCTCTGTGCTAGCCGCAGCTCCGGAATTCTTTGCAGGGCTTGACCTCCAACCAACCGGTGTTCCACCGCATCTTGGGCTGCAAGCACATAAGTTGGCGAGGGTGCTCGACAAAAAAGGGCTTTCAGAAAGGATCTATATATATATATGTATATAGATATATAGATATAGATAGATAGTAGGCCCAATGAATCCGGTTCAGGCTCAAGAATGGAACAGCAGACCCGGTGCAGACCACCAGATACTCCTAGTGCTCTTCTTGTTCCCAGGTCACGGAGACTCTGCATCCTGAAGCTCCGCTTCGACGGCAAGTTGCACTTGCGGAATAAAATCAGCTCTCCTTGCCATGCTCCGGCGATTTCCTTTAGGGGGAGCTATGCAATTCAGTGCCGTGTGTGCCTGTGCATACAGCGAATCGTATCTCCAGAAGCTTGCGTTGTTCTATCGGCGCAGGACCCCTCATTCACGCCTTCTATCGAAAACATCGCAGCTGCCCCGGATTTCACCAGTGAACTCAAGCATCGAGGGTTTACGCTAATTACAGCGTCCAATCTTGTGCAAGCAGCTGTGAACTTCTGCTGAGATCACGAAGTCTGGCCCGTCTGAACTCGGGCGAAACGTCGCTGAGCTTTCCAGAGTGACTGGGCTCATTTAAGACCAGAGAATCGGATGGCAAGATCTCCCGGTTATGGCCAGCTATGATGCCCGTTAGATGCCGCGCAGCTTGGAAGGCGTTGGGCCAACTCAAGGATGATGTTAACAGCCCCTTGGTGGCACCTGGTCATTGTTATGCTTTGTTAGCACGGAGACCGGTGTGGTTCTCCTATTATCGGTTAGG